TAGAGCAGATTCTGTTGCGTTTCTGACAGATTTTCATTGCATTTGTGGCCAAAAGTACGTCGACACCCAAACATTACACCCAGAAAGTGATTTTCAATTAAAACCTTATTCCAATTTGACTGCAACATTTTGGAGCAATGACTTTCTTTCTTTCAGCCTGAAGAGCAATCAAGGTTCTGAATAAAGGTGAAGCCGAATGTCATGGTGCACAAACAGAAATAGATTCATTTGAGGCTGCCCAAAGTGAAGTGAAATATGCAACATGTTATTGCAAAATTGTTCTTCTTCTACTACAGAAAAATCAGTAACTGTAGATTCATTCATGTGTAAGGTTTGAACATTAGGGCTTAAACAGACTGACTCATTCAATCTTCTTAAGCTTTCTGACTCCAGTTGTATAACCCAAACTAAACTTCCTGGATTGAATTCAATCAAATGGAATTCAAAGTTGCCTCAAGGAGCTTCAGAACAACCAGCCTGTGCTTGAACCGTCGATTAGTTTGAATTGTATTAAGTTATTCCTCCTTTCTCTTCTCCATTCTCCTAGGAATATCCAGCATTCCTGTTGTGTCAATTTCCACTTTCCACATACAGTCTTTTGAAACCTGTGGCAATGTAATGTAACCACAGGAGGACTTCTCATATGTACATGAAACCAACATATGTACATGAAAATAACACGCGAAATAGAAATATTCAGTCCTCCACCCACACACTCCTATAAAAACCATGCTCCGTGTCACTGCCAATGACACTAGAGATCCCCCCCCCCCAAACTCCTGTCAGGATATGGCGGCTAAATCCCAGACGCTCTCATCTGCCAGTGCTGCAATGGAGATCACACACAGAGAGTAGACTCTTGTATCCACATTATACACAGCAGGGAGGAGGGAGATGAGAGGGAGGATAACACATGTCAGGAATAACAAGAAATGAGTCAGAGGGGCAAAGAGATGAAGAGAGAGGAATTATATCAGGCTGATATCAAGAGTTCATTTGGAGAGAAAAGACAGACGAAGGGCAGAGTGAGATGGATGGAGAAGGAGGAGGAGGAGGAGGAGGAGGAGGAGGAGGAGAAAGGTCAATGGTGGAGGGAAAACAGGGAGGAGAATATGGATTCAATTATGAAATTATTCATTATCATTACTCGCATGTCCTTGTTTGTCCTTCATGTTTTTTCTGCCCAAATTATTTATGTATGCTCATTCATCAGTGTTTAAACACTTCAGGGAGCATTAAGCCTCTTCTCAGTCCCTTCATGTTCTATATTTAGCTAGATTTGGGATTGTAATGTCTCCCCTTAGCTGGAAAACACTCAAATCCAATGATATATACATATGCTATCATCACACACTTACTGTAACTCTTAAAATCAATCTGCAGGTGGATCAAGGATTCATTTAACATTTCAATTAATGAATTCAGTCAATAAGATTTACTCAATATTTATAAAAATGTCTTATGTTGTTTTGCTTTGCAACAAACTATAACAAAATGCAATCACCAATGAATACTAATGGTATTTGCTTATGTGCTCTGTAAAAATTGAAATAATGTCAACTAGTAATAACAAATATTTCTTAGTAAATAAAACAAGTTCTACAATGCTGCACAAATCTACTTCAGAGCATTTGGTAAGAAATTAGAGGTGAAGTTAACCGAAGGCTAAATGTTATCTTAGAATCCTATTTTACAAAAAGATTGGATATGTGTTACCTTAGAAATTCATGAAAACTCTTGTATCTGTCCTCAAATATCTCCGCAAATAAAAAACAATGCTGTTTTCCTTTACTGTTCTATGAGACAAACAAAAATTTCCAACCATCATATGTTACTTCTCTGCAGCTCCTAACAACACAATGAAAATGAGCATCTCCACCAGTTACAAACACAAAAACAACCTCCTGACAGCCGCTGTTTACATGTGTTTTCACATATTCAGTCTGTGGGTTCCTCCTGGAGGGAAGTAGTCGTGGACTGGCTGTAAATCAGAGCCAGGGAACATGTTGCTGATCGCCTGCAACAGTGTAATCGACCTAATGGTTTAACGGTTCCCCTCTCCAGGATGAATGTATGTGAGTGTAAGTGCATGAGTGTGTGTGCTCCTACTGTAACAATCTGTGCATGCTAACTAAGATACAGTATGAGCAGGGGCGTATTCAGAGACAATGGGCACCTGGGCACAGACATGTAAAAGACCCCCGGTTCCTTGTTACAAAGACTGAAAGAGTTCTTTCATTCCAAAATGATAGTTTTCTTTCTCTTCATGGTCATTTACAACCAATTGGTGATTAAGGTGCTAAGCTCGATGCATCATGTCTTTGCATACCTGTCCTTTTCCTTCTCTTTTTGGTGACTTTGCAGATTTCTTTTTTTGTTGTTGTTTTACTTCTGTTTCTGGTCATGTTGCATCTTTTGTGGTACATATTTCTGCCTGTGATCACTTTGAGCATTGTTGTGGTCCTTTTGTCTTAATGTGTCATGCTTTAGCGTGCTTTCGTTGTTGTTTTAACTAGGGGTCGACCGATTTTGCATTTGACAGATTATCGGTATCGGCCTTTTTTTTCATCAAATTGCTGATACGACTTTGGCTCTGATGCGGCCGTTTCTCTGGCTGCAGTCACCACTGTTCACAAGCAATGTCCCGCCCACAGCGCTATCTGATAGGCTATTACTGAAGTGTCAATCAACACTGAAGATTCTCCGGGCTGCAGCCAGCCAGAGAGGCGGGACCTTCTCAGATTACAGGCAGGTGCGAAGAACGCAGACACAGACACAGACAGAGGCAAGCAGCAGCAGTGATCGGTGTTTCGAAGGTAAATCAGTTGAAAGCCGAAGTTCAATAAACATCCCAATCCCCTATGCTGAAGTTGCAAAAACACCACGATCTCATGGTCCAATTCTATTAGTTTCCCAGTTACAAAGGGACAGGGGGGAGGGGTAGCGTCTCGCAGCGGAGAAACTGTGACGCGCTAGGACGACTGGGACTGTGACGGCTGCTAGTGGAGCCTCGCAGCAGCTCTGCTTTCTGCACCACAATCTGGTGCTGCTGAATTGGGACTACTAAATGAGTGAGACTCAAATATCAGAAGTTCAGAACAAGTTTTAGTAGTTTTTATTTTTACTTCATTTACTTTACTCAGGGTCACAGAGAGGAAACCAGTTTTAAGATGTTGAAAAGTTCATTAAACATAAAAAGGCATTTCAAAGAAGTTGTGTTATACTACCAAGATTTTCAGATTTTACTGCAAATGTTTATCGGTTCCAAATATCGGTTATCGGTCTCCTTGATTACTAATAATCGGTATCGGCCTTGAAAAAGCCATATCGGTCGATCCCTAGTAAAATCAATAGATATTTTTTAAACCAACTTAAGATTTTAGAACAAAGGGCTCCTTGGCTTACAAGGTTACAACTACCGGAAGACTATAAATAAATAAATACCCCTGTTTTGGTCTCATTAGTCAAACAGCATGATTTATGATACTAAATAAATACATCTAGGCTATGTTTATGCTTAAGGGCTGAGCAGGTAAAACAATGTTATGCTACAGAAAGGGTAGAGCATGTTGAACGTTTCTTAATGTCCTTCCAACCATATAATAATACAAATAAATGCAATGAACTAAAACAACCCAGTAATAAAGGTACCATTGAGCTTAATGAATATCATCCAGTTTAAAGCAGAAAACAGCAAAGTAATAAAGCAAACGGCAACAAATTACAATCTTCACACAGACAGTATTACGCAGGGCAATTGTATTCGATTCCATTCAATTGTACAGGTGTTTATGTTCCTGTGTCCATCCCCTGTATATTAATGTAGTGAACACAATGTGTTACTGGGGAAAACAACTCTTGAAACCCTTAGCCCATTTTTTTTGGGAAGAGGTACAAAATGGTGTCACCAGATGGCCGATACTTGTGGGCAGAAAAGCCACCATGGCAGGAAAATATGTTCACTGCTGAATTAAAGTAACCCTGTGTCCCAAAGTGACTATGCAAATTAGTATACATGTCAAATGCCTTAAACTAAATTGGCAATTTAAATCAAGTAGCTAAACAGTTACTAAATAATACAAGTTGGGGAATGAGAATAGTCTCCGGGGCTAAGTATGCCAACAATTTTAAGTAGCAAGTCAGCCACATACAATCTTAACAATTAAAAGTGTCTGGCATGTCGTATTAGCTTAATACACTTATTTAAAGAGTAAACTTTGTTCATCCGCTTCAGTTGGACATTTGTTTAGAGTGTTTTAGAGTGCTCATAGCCTAGATTTGTGGATGTTTCTATGTGTATATTTAATCTCATATATAGCTTAGAGACATAACACATCCACAGTCTCCTCTCTTAATATGCTGACAGACACACAATCTTGTAGCTTTTACTCACAGGCTTCCATTTGCAAGTGCAAACAGGTCAGTCAAATCCAATCAATACACATTATCGGCTTAGTGAAGGCTAGGATTTGTAAGAAAACATATCAAGTCTAAGGGGAAAGCCTTAGAACTCCTTTACTCGAAATACAAACGAACATTTCCTGTTAACTCTACGGTTTCTTCATCATTTATGTCAGAAGGAGCCCACACTAGAGTTTTCGAATATAACGCCTAAATGACATCAGCTGTCCACAGGCACAGCACCCCAGCTAAGGTGAACATAATCAGAGCAGACAAGAAACTACAGAAACATGCTGTGACCTTTCAAGTCTGAGGGGAAAGGCTCTGTATACATTTACAAAATGTGAGGGGACACAAAAAAAAAATTCCCATCACATAAATGAGAGTGTGACTAATGGGTAGTGAAAGAGCTGGTCTGTAACCTGAACTCCAAAATAATCTAGCCTGAGTCTCCATGGCCACTTTGGGGGAGCAGTGGGGGGTTTGACAAGGGAAATGGGGGGGACCACCTGCACACCCAGCGGAGCCAGCTCTGTACTGGCACCACCATTTGTTACGCTCTGGATTCCCATTACTTTAGAGCTAGCTTGGCTGGGAAATCCATCTCCTGGTGTCAGGTTTATCAAACTTCTATGCAAACTGAAATGGTGGAAAATGGGAGAACGATCACAGCCATGCAAAGCGCTACGTGGGAAAAATATCTCTTCACTTAAGGTGTGAGAAATCTTAGTATGCAGTAATACATAGCTATGATCTTGTTTCTCATTTTAACTTGACATAAGAAATATCATAACACAATTTGAGGACAGTGTGAAGTGTAAGATACAAGCATCCACATTCAAATTATAAGCAGCAGCATTTTATGCAGCCTCAGCAAGCTTAGTGTCAGCCCTACATTTAATAGGCACTTAACACACAAAGAAAGCTGCAAACGGAGGTGATATATGCCTTATATTAGAGGGCAGCATCAGCCAATCCTGGTTTGAATGCCATCTTGGAAGGTCTGCGGGAAGGAAAAAGGCCTTTATCCTAAAATAGTTTCATTAGATGTAATCACTGGTGAAAAATTGCAATTCCAGGTCTTGATGCCACTCAATCAGCAATCAGTCGTTATCAGTCGATGGCTAAAGTGATACGCAATACGTCATTGACCAATCTCCGTCAAATACCTGTTCCCTAAATAGTGTGGTTATTAAATTGTTACATTATCAACATTATAATCACGTATAGGCTGGGTATCAGTACTTAATACCTTAAAGGTAACAACCAAACTAACACAGTACAAGTAGCATCAAAACTTCTGTCGTCAAACGATACATGCATTCAAACTTCACTGTACCCACATTTAGACTTGTTTTTCTTTAAATGTATGGATTGTTGGCAGCCAATCAACGCAAGCTTTCTTCGAACGTGCAACATGTGATTTCACCACTATCACAGCAGCCAAAAACATGTTGGTAATGGGAGGAGTGGTGGTGTTTATGTGGTATAGAACAAAAATGGTATCAAAGAACTCTATTAGTATCGGTGCCAGTTAAAGGGAACATGTATTTTTAGTGGTATTGTACATTTTTAAACAATCCCCAGCCTTGTAATAATTTAAAAAACGATAATGCTAAACTTCTGCTGGTTCAAACATATTTATTGCAAGAGTTTTGACCCATCTCGATTTATATCAGAGTACATTTAATATTATTCTTTTTTGGTTTATTAAAAAGAAAAAATGAAATGTTTCATGACTTGATACACATGTACGCAGTGTCCTCGTGCCTTGGGGACCTTGGCTGGGTTCACAAAGGTTATAAAATAGGGTCAAAAGAGGTTTTCCTATACTTACAGAAGCAGACTTCCTTGAGGCCTCTCTGTTCTACATGGTTCTCTGCATCAATAATACAGACTGACATGCACAAGATACTCTCAAGGAGAGCCAGTCAGTTTGCATCACCAGAGTGCTCGCTGTGAAACAAACAAATTAGAACTGACAATCCTTTTGATCGTCCATACATCCTCATGAGAAGGATACAGCCTCGTCTCCTCTGTCCACCTCCCTAGGAATTGTAAACAGAAACCAGATGTCTTTTCAGCAACTAAAGACATTATCGGGACGAAAGGAGCACTACCCCGTGGATATAAAAATTGTTGGAAATGATTGAAGGTTCTTCGCAAAAATTGAAAAAAAGGAAATCAGTGCGTAGCATAAACGCTGTGAAATACAAATCAGACGTACTGATCTTCTGGGAGCAGCAGCACTGAGAACGTAAACTAGTCAAATGTCTGTCAGGAGTTTAAACGGAACTGGAAGAGCGTAGAAATTGCATTAGTTACAAGAATATATATCTCCCAGTGGGATTTTATAGCAGAAGCACGGGGATGTGCTACAAATGCCTCTGACTGTCGGCTGATCAAATTTGTATAAGATTCTTTCAACAAAGCCTCGCAAAATACCATGAATAATGCTGACATTTGAGCAAATTACCCCAAAAGGGGAAACTGTTGATGTCACTACAAGGTCAAATGTCTTATAAACATCAGGGCTCGACAGTAACGGTTGCCAGGTTGCCATTGGCAACCATTCAGAAAAAATGTTAACCACTTATTGGCCTTTGGTTGCCATCAGTAGCAACCAGTTTTTAACATAAAGAAATAAGGACAGCAAACAGCTAAATGTGCACCCCAAAATAGATAAATGTTAATTATTTGTTGTATTAAGAGTGATATTTAATTATTGTTGTGACCAGTCGAACCTGATACTTAAGTTGCACGTGCATTGGTGTGACTACGGAGCCAGAAAGCGATGCACGTTAACTCGCGTGCGCACTGCGCGGTGCGCTGTGTTTGTTTTTACAAAAAATGGCGAAGCAAATTAAGTTGTTTGACTGTGGGGTAAAAAGTTCGGCCAACACCTCAACTTCTCAAACGAATGTTCAAAATGTTTCAACTGATAAAGCGCAAAGTGAACCCGAACGAAAAGCAAAGAGGACATGTGTAAAGTCTTGGGAGGCGAAATATATAAGTACATTCTGCTCCGTTGTCCATTCACTTCCGGTAAAGGTTCCTTCAAAATAAGAGTCCCGATCTTATTACTATCAAAATAAAAGTGCAAAACGAAACTTTACCTTAGGAAAATATTGGCATACAAATATAATCACTTCTATAAAAAGGTAACACATTTTAAATATAGTTAGACATATTAAAGGTAATTTACAGCATTCATAATTAATATATCATTCTTAACTGTGAATGGTTCTCATTTATTTAACATTAGAAATGTATTAGTCTGGCCAATCCAAGACTTCAATGCTGAAGGGCCAATGGATCAATGGTGGAGGTCAGCACAAAGGTCAAGGAAACCCACATTTGAAAGAAAGACAACAGATGACCAAGAAACTAGTGACTTACTCAATTCATCTGTGAAGAACATGACGACAGCTGCACTACTGGTGTTTTGTATACCAACAATTGAGGGTGGACACGTTTACTACCACTTAAGTTTCAATTAATTGTGTTAATTACTTATTGTAATGCACTTGAACATTCTTTTGTGTCACATGTTCATTATTAAGTTGATGTATAACTGTATAGTATCTTAATTATTTTAAATATAAGGTGACTAAAAATGGCAACCGTATTTTCAGTTTTGGCATCCAAAAGCTGATGCCTGGTTGCCAGTCTGGCAACCACTTTTAAAAGTTAGCGTTGAGCCCTGAGGGGCTTTCTTTTCTTCAGGCAGATGCTGATGAAGTCAGGGTCTGACTAAGTGTTATCCCTACCTGTCACTGTGGCATAATGGGAAAATATGGAAAATATCATGAAACCTTAATTACTGACTATTTTTTAATTGGTAATTGAATTAGAAAAAAGTCTTTTCATAAGGAAATCTGATCTGCCATGGTAACACGTCACCTGAATTGTTTGATGCCACAACCAAAATATTCCTGTACAGGAGTGCAGGAGGTAAATGCTCATTGGATTCCCTGGCTGAGGTCCTGCGTTAGTAGCTGTTACATAGCCACCCTCTATGGCTTGGAGGAATAACCCAGGTGGAAAATGTTTAACAAAGCCAAAGGGCCTTTTTAAGAGACTTGATGTCAAAGAGCACAAAGGAAAATGTGTAAAGTGGTTAAACCTGCCATCGTGCAGATGCTGCTATCACTACAGGTTTATTATGTTTACTTTGAAAAATGTATGGATTGTGGCTGCGAGGGAGTGACCGCACTCCCTCGCAGCCACAAGGTTGTGGGTTCAATCCCAGCCCATGCAGTCAACATGTCGATGTATCCTTGGGCAAGATACTTAACCCTGAGTTGCTCCCGATGGCATGGCCAACGGTGTGTGAATGTGTGTGAATGTTAGGTCCTAGAGTAAGGTACACTGCTCTGTATGAATGGGTGTGAATGGGTGACTGACATGTAGTATGTAAAGCGCTTTGAGGGGTCGTAAAGACTGGATAAAGCACTATATACAGTTGCAAGAAAAAGTATGTGAACCCTTTGGAACTACCTGGATTTCTGCATAAATTGGTCATAAAATGTGTTCTGATCTTCATCTAAGTCACAACAATAGACAAACACATTCTGCTTAAGCTAAAACCACACAAACAATTATATGTTTTTATTGAACACACCATGTAAACATTCACAGTGCAGGGTGGAAAAATATAATTGTTTGTGTGGTTTTAGCTTAAGCAGAATGTGTTTGTCTATTGTNTTCTACCGGGAGTTCTGTGCTAAGTGTGTTAGCATTTTTTCGCTCCGGGCTAATTCAGAGGCTTGGTATTACCCTTGTGTTTCGTTTAGCAAACAAGGTTAAAAAAAAAAAAAAACATGATCTTTTATAGGAAGAAATGCAAACGTTTCAGTACGCAGCCCTAACTACAACACTTGTGAATAAATAAGCTGTTGTGGCATCAAAGTTTATATATGGCCAAATTTGCAAGAAAACATGGAAAGTCTCAGGCTATATATCTGAGACATTAAAAGAAAAATAGATGGTGCAAGTCAAAATGAAAAGGCAGTTTCTAGTTTACAGGAAATGCATCTGGTTGATAGCATTAGCTGCTCAGTATAACCTCTGTCGTCTTCTGACTTGAAAAGGGCACCACAGCAGTGGTTTCTAAGAGGTCATCTGACCCACCCATTTATCTGAACTCACTCACTCAGACAGGGGAAGAGAAGGTTCCAGACTGACTGCCCCAGGCCGCTCTTCTGTTATCATGTGTTTGTTTGATCAGAGCAGGACTGGTTTCATCCTGCAGGAACCAGCACCCGTGAACCAACGGAGAATCAATAACCCACTCTCAGCTCTTCCCCTCAATAAGTTACACTTCTCTCTGCTCATGATACTCTAACTAAATATGTAGCTTACACATTGAGCTTTCACAATGCACACGATTCTGGTCTTTATTTTATCTTTTGTATTCTAAAAGGTCAATTTCTTTTTTTTAAATAAAAAATGCTTAAGATTTGTTTTTTCGATGTTACATTTTAAGAACCATATCCTTATATGCAATCTGCTAGCGGTCCAAAAAGGGACAACAATGGTCCAAATTGTATTTATTTTTAGACTCATATTTGATAACAACTGCTGTCTAAAGATGTTGTCACAGATATAAACATTTGTATAGTGTTTCAGTCTCACTAGATACCTGTGGACCTGTAAAAAACGCATTAAACCTACTTTAGCGTTTTTTCAAACATTTTTAAATACAGGCATGTAAAACACCAAACAAACGACTATGAAACAAGACCACTATTTCAAAGCATTACTAAATCCCCTTTAGAGGGCAAACTATCAGTTATCCCAGTGGCATATGTATACAAATAATACAGATTTTAAATTTGACAGTTATCATACAGTATACATTTGCTTATCTATTAGACCCTCCAGAAAAACGCGGGCAAAAATCCTTACTTATGCAGGCTAAAATCCTTGATTATACGATTTAAACATGCAGGGTTTTTATGTGACTTTATGCGGTGAAGTTGCGGAAAGTTGCGAAAAAGAATAGTTTTTTTTAAAATATTGGGCTGTCTTATTTATTCTCTCTGACACACATCCTGCCAATAACGTTAAACCCCTTTCCTATTAAATTAAACACATTCAATGTTTATTTATTGTAAAAACAATTGGGCTATTTTACACACACACACACACACACATACATACACACACACACACACTTCTCCACCTCATTCTGTTTTAATTTACTCGTTCGTTATCTGACCAGCTTCAATCTTGTAGGCTACTCACTTCGTTTCTTGGAGCCCTCGAAAGGGTTTTGGAGGTTGATGCCTCGGTGAACGCGAGTTGTTTGGCTTTCTTGTCCGCAGCAGCAGAAAGCATTTTCGAATGTTTGAATGAATCAAAGTGGGTCGTCACCGTTGACTTTCTCATGCTCCAACAAACAGTTGCACGGGGTGCAGAACAGTTTCCCCCCACTTTCGTGCAAGACATCGGGGTACTGCTTTGCCCGGTCTTTAGCAGAAATGTTCGTCGGTAAATGAGATGGATCTGAGTTTTTCATCTTGGTGTTTTCTCTCTCGTGTGAGTTCCACACGTTCACTCTACGGTGTTGTTTACCTTCTGTGATGCGCGAGCTGATGACGTCGCGTCATCATCATCACTACTTCACGTCAAGACGAGTTAACTTTTTTTTTTTTCAACTTTGTGTGGAAAAATGCTGGGATTATGCGCCCTTTTGATAAATATGCGGTCTTTTAAAAATCTGCGCCATTTTGCTGATTATGCGGTAAATTCTGCGAACGCAGAATCACGTTTTTCTGGAGGGTCTAATCTATGGTACGTACAGTAGGGCTAGTCCTTTCCAATAATCATAGGAACATATTTGAAAAGCTCACAGTTAATGTAACATACTATAGTGCTGCTAACAAGCTTTAGGTATGACACACTAGTTGGATGCTATCTCATCATGTTTCTAACTAGGTTCTTATCCCTTTTCAAGGGTCATACTTGATTTATATGAAA